AGAACAGGCTTTACATCGCAGCACTAGTTAGTACCGAAGCAGAACTGTTGGCAGCGTTGCAGCTCATTTTATTGATCTATTGTAATAATCAGGGGATTAACCACCAGGCCACCACTGCCCCGCTATATCAGTATGGTTGATGTCGGAATCGGAAATGAAGTGTTTGGACAACATCGGCATATCGGTTATTATTAACTGAATTATGGTTTAACTCCTCTGCACAGGGTTGAAGTTGAAGTTGAGATAAGAAGAGACTCACTCCTGGTCATACTTCCTCCGATAACACTCTTCACAGACAGAGGTCGGCTGAAACGAGAGAAGAAGAAGAGTCAGACACGAGTCAGAATGATCTGGTCATTCAGACACTCAGAGCTCAGTCAGGTTCTACGTTTGAACTCATCACCGAACACTCGGAGTGAACACACAAAACAATGTCACTAAAATAAGAAAGATAAGTTTAGGATGATGTGGAAAGGTACGGAGGAGTCCAGGTTCCTACTTTAGACTCTCCTGTGAGGAGGAGGAGGAGCGGTCAGACTGCGGCAGGGACACGATGCTGTCGGAGCTCTTCAGGTGAGACTGCAGGGCTCTCTGATAGGTGGACTCCAGAGCCTGGAACAGATGCTCCGCCTCTCGACTGTAGTGACCGTGGAAGCCCCAGTAACACCTTTACATGAGGAGGAGGAGAAACACAACATGTTTTTACAGTAAACCCACATTCATGCTCAGGGAACAACCTGAAAGATACTCACTTTCTGGCTATGGACCTGGCCTCAGAGTCGGCGTCGTGGATGCCTTTCTTGATGGTCTCTGTCAGAACAGCCACGTGTCTTGGGAGACAGAGACGCGCACACACACACACAATTAGTCTGCATCCCCCATGTTTGTCTCTTCTGCTCTTTTCACGCACACGCAGCTTACCTCTCCAGAGTGTTTGTGTGCCACTCCTGTAACATGAGGTCCAGGAACTCGTAACATCGCCTGAAAAAGAACCAGAACCAGAACCAGAACACACGGCCGACTGTTAGAACAGGACTGAAGAAGAGGCAGGCGGAGTTTTGATGATGTCACACACCAACGGTGACATCATGTCCTGTCATCGTCTGACTCACTCTTCACCTGACAACAGTGTGAAACAACGTCAAACTAACGACTGTTGTCACACTTGTCGGTTGTTCTTACCGTCGGACTGCCACTGACTTGGAGGTGCAGTTACTGGTGATGATGGGGATGAGACGTGGATAGTGCGTATGCTGCAGGAAGAAGAACAAACGACGCGTTACGTACTGAGCGTTCCGTCTTCTGGATATTTTCATCCAAGAGTTCTGATTCGGTGCCGTTTTAACATTTAAATATTTGCCCCCACAGCTCTTACCCTCAGGATGAGGCGGATGGCTGCCATGCCTGACGTGGCTATGACTTTGGCACTGTTGGGTACAAGGTTCAGTAAAGTGGGCATGACGCTCTCTGCCCCGTGGTCAAACTTGTTTTGCAGGAGGGCGGACAGGTGTCTGAGGAGAAGGACAGGATGGGACAAGGCTGAGGAACCAATGCAAAAATCGGTACCAGATCCATTTCCATGAAGAACTGTTTCTTTATAAAATGCTGAAAATACGACTGCACTCATGTTCACTGGACTGTTTCTTTATTAAAAAAAAGGTTTTAACTGAAATACGACTGCACTCATGTTCACTGCATTCATTCCTAAAACCCGTCACAGTCAGAAACAAAACAGAACTGGTCAAAGTTCTCTTCTACCCTAAAGTGATGCAGGCCTCGCGGACCACCTGGGACCGCAGGTCTTTCGCTGACAGCTTAAGGGGAGCCTCCAGGAGGCGCAGCTGCTGAGGGAAGCCCTCGTACTCGGTGGCTCCGGACATCATCAGGGAGCGGATCTTCTTCAACTGCAGGAGAGAGAGGACAAGACAACAAGTCACTCCTGAAGACAGAGTGCATGCTGGGTAAAGAAAGGCGCGGACTTCGGGGTCTTACAGCCGTCACTCTATGCTCCCAGTCGTGTTTGTCATCAGACAGGACTTCTCTGATCTTGGTCAGCTGGTCCTCCAGCTCTCTGTTAGAGAAGATCTGGACACAGAAACAGAAGATCACAGTCTGTCCTGTGGAACCATGAGGTTCTGTCCTTCTGTTAATGTCCCCGTCACAGGAACGAGACCCACCTGAACAGACGGCACATCTTCAAAGGCTTTGATAAAATCTTCTTCATCGAGGGCACCGGCTCCAGCTTCTTTAGCTGTGGAGACAGAGAGACAGAGGACAGAGAGTCAGAGGACAGAGAGAACCCCCCCCAGGGACATGAATTAAATCATGAAGGTGAACAGTCCCAAAGAGTCTCTCACCTGTGGGCTTCACTGATGTGGCTGAGCTAGGTCTTCTGACTGTAGTCGCCACACCTCTCCTGCCACTGGGGGGCACTTTAGAGGAGGAGGAGGAAGAGGACCGGCCTCCGTCCATTGAATCTTCATCTTCAAAGTTCTTATCTGTGAGAAGAAAAAAAATGTAACTGATACGTCTCATCTGTCAGGCTCAACATGTAGAGGAACCCCCCCCCACTCCCCACCCGACCCCCCCCAGGGCTCCTCTGAACACCATCATCCATCATTAACCCTGTTCAACAGCAGAGCACAGCGATGGACGGTGATGTCATCGACCACCGCTCCACAGACCATATCAGTCACAGACCTCTGTCTGTAGACCCCTCCTCAAACCATCAGTCCCATCAATAAAGCCTTTACGTTTCAGCCGTACAACAGTGTGGTCACATGATAACAAACAGTGTGAGAAAAAGAAAGAAAAAAAGATCAGACCCAGATTATAATCTAAGATGAAGAAGGTGACGGTGAGGCAGCAGAAAAACAGGAGACGAAAAGACAAAGGCAACAGGATGGAGGAAAGAGCTGGGAGGAGGTGAAGACAGGCAGACGGAGGAGGACACAGACGCCACAGACACCACAGACAACAGACGGTAAGATGAAAAACAGAAGATAATCTCACGAGGACAGATCCTCCGGCACACCAGCTTCCTCAGCATGTTTCTGCCGCCTCAGAGAAACCATGTCCCTCCTCTACCACCACACACCCTCGCTCACTGTCTCTCTCTGTCTCTCTCTCTCACTTTTACACACACACACACCTAGTCTGCATCTGTGTGTGTGTGTGTGTGTGTGCCTCCGTCACAGACAGGGCTCAGCAGCAGAAACACTGGCGTGAGTCACAGTGACATCACCACACCCCTGGTTCAGATCAGAGGTGCTCAATTACTGGATTGTGGATCAATCTGCTGCCTGATGACAAGACACTTTTCTCAGTCATGTGGTACATCCTGGTTCTACAGCAGAACCCCGTCAGAACCTTCTGTTCTGTACACTGACACTTTTCATACAACGGAAAAATGGAAATATATATCGTCGAGCCTGTAGTATCGCAGTATACTGCAAGATCGTGATCGATTCTCACCAATACACACCCCCTAGTGATCACATCTGGAACTTCTCAGTTTGGACCAACATGCAGTCCAGAAGAGTGACCTTTGAACCCACTGGTTGGTTGTACATCGGACCGCCTTTGACAACAGCCAATGACAGCTGAGCTCAGTAAAAATAAATAATCAATCTGTCAGAGTCACCATTAGGTGGAGCCATTGCTCCTCACGGTCATCACCACCATCACAACCACCACTTCCAGGTGAACTAGTTAACTGACCAGGTCTGGTTAACTTATTAACCCTTACAGGATTAGAACATGTGATGGGAGGCTGTGTAATGAACCTGAACCACACACTGAACACCAGGAGGCGCTCACCTGAGCTGGAAGATGGAACCATGTTCCCAGATCTTTGGACTTCATCAAACTTGCTGAAGATTACATTCAACCTATCAGAGAGAGGTGAAGAACAGGTCAGAGGTCAACACCTTACTGGGCTCACGTCAGACTCGTGTGTGTGTGTGACAGGAGCGCCCTCTACTGTAGTAGACCTACCGTGACTGTGGCAGGCCTTTTTTGCTGAGGTCCATCCTCACCCTCTCACCCACGTGTCTGTAGATCTCTACCAGAGAGCTCATGGCTCCGTCACGCACCTGAAGGCAACACAAACACAACATTTCCTCTTTGATGAAGTCATGGGTTCAGGATGAAGACAGGACGTTCATCCACGACGTAGTCCCTCCCACTGTAGGGTACCGGTGTGTGCTGGTTTACCTGACTTATGGGGTCTCCCAGCAGGTTACATATATGTGGAACGATTTTGCTGAGGGTCAGGCCTTGAGCTCCATATCTGGACAAACAAGGAGGTGACAAGGACAGATTAGGTGATGGAGACAACACCATCTGAAGGCTCTAAATGACCGTGAAGAAATCACGGTCTACGAAGAGCACACAGTTTGTTTCAGTTTGTGAACTTTTCTGTTTGTGAACGGCCTTCGGGAACGAGTCGAGTTCCAAAACCCAGGTTCCTCTGTGCATCAACACGTCTGTGTTAACAGAGCAGACCGACACCAGGACCGGGGCTGACACTCACATGTTCAACGTGGCTATAAGGCACAGACACACTCCTTCCCTGGTCCTGTTGTTTTTGTGTTTGAATCCTCCCAGTATACGATCCCATACGTACTGCAACACAAACAAACAAACAAACCATTACAGTCTGTTTACATTTTAATGTCAGAACACACACAGTGGATCAGCATGAAAACAAACACAACAAAAGTACAGCTGCAACATCATCATCAGAGCAGTGTGTGCGTGTGTGTGTGTGTGTGTGTGTGTATACCTGCGGGGACGCAGCCTGTTCCATGATCTTCAGCAGCAGGACTTGGTCCTGGTCTCTCACCTGGTCTTTGGCATCTCCTAGCCGATCAATAAGACTGGGCAGAACTGGAAAAAACATGATTGTTTAGAGTCACAACAACAAAGAACATGAAAACATCCAAACTCAATAATTACAGCTAAATATATATATATATATATATAGGTATATTTATAGGTATGTATATATATATATATATATATATATATGTGCTGCAGAGCTGGGAGACATGACACTCAACAGATAAAGGATAAAAGAAGAAGAACTTTACTTGTTCCCACGTGGGCCTTGAAGCGCTCCTGTAACCTTGTGACTAAGGCAGATAAGAGGTCTAGGCCCAGAAGAGCCACCTAGTGGACAGAGAACAGAAAATAAACATCATATCAAACAGTTACAAAGTGGAGCTGTAACACTGACTCTACAACAACGTGGACACAGTTTATTATTATTTTTATATACAACTATGTCACTGTTTGTTATGTAATGTTTATATTATAATAAGTATTGTTTAAAGAAAACGTATTTCTGTACAGACTCTACTTTGATTTCTTTTTAAAGTACAGAACACAACGTCTACATGAGCAGACATTTTTAAAAAAACCCAAGGTTATTTCATTTTTATTTCAGGATCCATTCAGTGACAAGCTGCCATCTGATTGGCTACAGGAAGTTGAGAACCAGAAACTCAGGAAACAGTTCCAGGTCACATGACTGTAAGTCAACCTCCTGGTCACGCAGCAGGAACTGGTTTCCTGACAAGAACTGATCTTTTCTAATGTTGTAGTTTGGTGAGTGTCAGTGAGACACAGATGGAAATAACTTTATTAGAAAAAAAATTTAAAAAAGAATCTGGCGACACCATCATATAAACACATCGTGATCCATACGATATACACCAATACGATATACTATGATACTGTAGTCATGACGATATATATATAGTTTTTTTTCCAACAATGTCACTGTAGTCAAACTGTCATCATAGTAAAGACACAATGTTGTTCCATCCTAACATCAGGTCACTAACACTGGAACAGACCAAACAGTTTCCACATCAGTTCCGAGGGATCGGCTTGGACTGAACTACGAACACGGCCTCTGATTGGCTGATAACAAAAACCGGTTGTCACCTGTTCTATGAGGATCGGTCGGCCGAGATTCAACAGTTTCCTCTGACCCAGAAACATGAAGGCAGATCACCCCTCCCCTCCATTTAGCTCAGTCATGTGACACACCTCTGATGGGGGGACGGGGGGGGGATTAACCCTCGAGTTTGACATTTGCCCACCTCAGTATCACAGAGTCCTCAAACCCCTGGTCCGGGGACCACTGCCAGTTCATAGGTCATCTGGTACACAGTACAAAAAAATGTACTTTACGATTTTACTAATTTACTTCATTTAAAAAGAACCCAGTCCAGAGTCTGAAAATAGATTAAGTACAAAGTTATAGAACCGTTCCTCACAGGACAGGAATGTGATCCAGAGAATCAACAGTGACCTCTTTGTCTGCACAGCAAACTGAAGACCCAACACTTCAATGAAGGTACACAGATGTCAAACTCAGGGCCCGTGGGCATTACATGGTACATCAAGTCCAATTAAAGGGACATGTACTTGTCTTATCGTGAATGTCCCGAGTGTACGATCAACAAAAACTACAAGTAGCAGCTACTACAGCCAATGACGTAACATCACGCCCTCACTGGATAGCAGTGTTACTCTAATGTCCTTGGACCTACCTTAAAGTTGCTGGAGTTGACCCAGGAAGTGGCGATGCTGTCCACCATCTTGTCCAGTACGGTCTGATCCTGCTCCAGGTCCTGAGACTTCTCCTTGTTTAGGATGTAATCGATGATGTCCTGACCCACCTGCAGCCGCCGGCCCACGTCCTTCTGCAGGACCTGTGCCAGGCAGCTCTCCATGTTGGCCTCCATCATTCTGAACTTTGATAAACAGCCCCCCCTAGCTCCTCAAACCGCCTCGCTGAGTCGCAGACTAAGAACTACCCTCCACTGCTTAAAGCAGCGGAAATGACAGCTGGACAACAGGAGCTCCAGTTGGTGGCGCCAAGACCGAATGACCCAGAGGAAGGAGGGAAATGCAGGGCTCGGTTCTTGAGGCTGTCGGCCCGTGTCTTCTGACTGTAGACAGGATCTGTTTGGGGCCAAGTGCTAGCTGGCTAGCAGGCTAGGGGCTGGGCCCTAGGGAGTGATGGACCAGGATTTGGGGAATGGCAGTAATGCAGCATGTGTGAGTGTGCACGGCAGCTGGGGCAAATGAACTACTGCCTCACACTTGACTCGTCCCCTCCTCTTCTTCTTCGTCTTCTCCTTCTTGTTGTGGTGAGTTAGTCAAACCACTTGAGCGGAGGTGGAGGAGCAGAGCAGCTGGGGGAGACGGAGAGGCCTTCACTGCAGAGCCATGTGGGTTCCAGAAGAGTCCTGAGAAAGTGGACAGGAACAAGTCAAATCCTCCACAACTCTCCAACAGATCTGGTCTGGAGATATATTTAAAAATTACACACATAAATAAAATGGCAGTCTCCATTTGACCATGTGACCCAGGACCAAGGCCTCGGTAATATGGTACTGATAAAAACCAAGAATATAAAAATCCATACAGCGATGTAGACTATAATATCATGAATCAAATTTTTTTTTTCATTTAATCTGACTGATTTAACTGTTAAATGACCAGAAAAGAACGACAGAAGAAATGATGAAATCTTTTCACAGAAATAATGTGGTTTAAGGATCAGACGGGTCATCAGAGATTAGCAGGTTCAAATCCCAGCCCTGGCAGTGACTGTGGTGTGTTCTAAACAGTCTAATGATTTAAAACAGGAAGTGACTCCACCAGAGTGAGATTAAAAAAAAACATACTTTAAATGTTTATATTTATGTGTGTTTTTTTTTGTCTTTAGGACGATGCCTGCTACTGGAACAAATGTTTACAGTGTTAAATAAATGTGTGAGTGAGAGTGTGCATAAATATGATACTGCTCTGATGGTGAGACATTCAACACACACACACACACACCCACACACACACACACCCAGGTCATGTAGTGTATGACTGGAGAGCCTCTGATGTTGTGGATGTGTGTACACCTGCCTAAACACAGTAATGTATACGTGTGTGTGTGTGTGTGTGTGTGTGTGTCTGCGTCACAGTAAAAACCAGTGAACTAACCACAGACGTCAGAGTTACTTCATTATTCCTGCCTCGGTCCAGACCACTGCTCCACAGCAAACCTTCTCACCCACAAAGATGAGCTTTTGTGCAGCGTTAGCTGAGCTGCAGCTAACACTCCAACACTCCAAGCCTGTGACCATCACTGTTAGCTCAGCCACACACAGGCTCCACAGCCTCAGAGTCAGCCGTGGAAAAAAACCAAAAAAAAAAAAAAACAACTCCCGTCCTTTTCCCTCACTGGTGTCTGCCAGTCTACATGTACTGTATGTATGAGGCAGAAAGACAGACAGACAGGCAGAGAGACAGACAGGCAGAGAGACTGGCTAAAGTGTTACCGCTGAGGAAAAAGCCAGACAGGACGTATGTGTACAAATTTAATATTAAAGTTAGCCCTTAGCAAAGCCCAGCTTTTCAGTGGAAACGTCAGTTCTCAGACAGGAAAGCAGCACAAAGACAATCATGTGGCCTGGAGCCAGACGGAGCCTCCGTCCACATCACCGCAGTCTAAGTCGTCTTGCCGCGACACACACCCGGTCGTTCGGGACTTACCGTTCGTGGTGTTAGCCGTCAAACCCAGAACAGGGCCTCGGGTCTCCAGCGTCTTTCTCTTTCTCTCACTCTCTCCACCCGGAATGCTGTGCCTGCAGGAGAATGGACGTGCGCATGCGCAGTCGGCGCGGGGATGATGGCTCCTGGAAAACTGTCGCATGACAATGTGATGCATTTGTGGGTAAAGTCGACGTGCAGCGACACCTGCGGGAAACAAAGACGAGCTGCACTCGAGGTCGCGCTGATCTGGAAATATATATTTGGACGAAAATGTTCAACATTACGAAAATAAATTCTCAAAGTTTAACCGAGACAAAGTTAAGTTTGTTGGGAAAAAATGTCGACATATTAGCTACCATATAAATTACCCGCCCAATAAATCGGCTTGTTTGTTTTCAAAATTTCGATCGGTCTTTCCATTTGTTATTATTGTTGTCGTTGTGCCAAAAAGCGAAGACTTTTGAGATGAAAATCAAACCGCTACATCAATAATCTGCCACTTTAAAACAGATTTAAATATTACATTACTGACTGTAGTTTGTTTACGCGGGTGGTGCCCATAAGTGCTAGCTAAAGTGCGAACTGCTAGCTCAAAACTGTCATGAATATATTTGTGTCTGTGTGACGTGGTTCTCTGGTGAGCCGCTGAGAACACAGTTCTCATCTAGAAATACGAGTTTAATAAACATCAGATGAAGAAATGAAGGTGAAATCAGAGCGTTGTAACACAGACATGCTAATAAGTGTCTCTTCAAAGCCTTGGTTCACAAAGTGAGGTGCGTGCTCCATGAGGACACAGCCCAGACAAGGACAAAATACAGATTAACACATTGTACAATAACCTACTGGTTTACAGTAACCATGGACAGTGTGTTTGTCCTGACATTTATTTACTTTTTTGTAAAATGTTACAAGGTTGTAAATATAACTGTTTCATTAAGAAGAAAACAACAAAAATCCAAAGGAAATCAGCAGCTGCTCATCAACCACGGAGACTCTGTGAGAACCATTTATGACACAAGACATGGTTCTTCTTTTTATATATATATACACATTAATACAGAGGTGACCATGTGACTAATCCACACAGGTCAAAGTTCAATCCTCAGTCTTAAGGAACCCTGACGCCAGGCCCACTCCTCGCCATCAGCCTCAGTCCGTCTACAGGGAGAAGGTTCATTTCTCCTCCATAGCGTTTTCAGAAATATCCTCGTTCTCTGACTCGTCTTCCTCGTCACCTTCTTCTTCCTCGTCCTCATCCTCGTCCTCAGAAGAGGAGCCCTCTTCATCTGCATTTGCAGTGGGAATTCTAAGGACAATCTCTTCATCGCCGTCACCCACCACCGTGGACTTCCTCCTCTCCAGAACCGAGGGCGTGCACACTGGTGTGGCGTCCTGTGACAGGAGAAAACACCGGTGACGATGGACACAGCTGCTGGACATGGACAGGTTCTGGTGCTGATCAATATTAAGAGATGTCCGATAAAATCGGCTGCCGCTTAATAGTATTTCAATTGGAGGGGGGGATTGATAATTGTAATTCCAAAGTGTTTGGACGATATTGGCAAAAAGTTAATATCAATATGTTAATTATTAATATGAGTGTGGGCCTTACCTCACTGCATGTGGATGCGTTCATGACACCAGCTGACGACTTCCGTGGCACCTGTGCAGACTGGAGAAAAAAAACGGTAGAAAACCGGGGTTTATATAGACTGACAGCAGGGACCCTTCAGGTACAAAGGCTTCACTTTGACAAGTTAATCTGAATACTCACAAATCCTGGGAAGTTGTAGTCGATGCCCCGCGCTGCCAGCTTCTTACGCAGCTTTGCTTCTTTGCGCAGCAGCCTGTGCGTCATCTTCTCCACCTCCTCCGCTGTTCGCTTCTTGTTGTAGCGTGACACCGCAGGATACGAGGGTTTCTTAAACCGTCTATCGCAACCAACAAACATCTTCTCGTGGACTTTCTCTGAGGGCATCACCTGACCTGGTAGACCAGGGAACAACATGGTCAGAGAGTAAAACATTATATATATATATTTCTTATATTAAACAACAGTGAAGTTTAGGGATGTCTGATATTAATATGTATTTGTTTATCTGTACAAACCACTGTATGAGTTGGTGGTGCCAACATTCTGCATACAATCCCCTGATTAAAATAGATTAACAAAATGAGCTACAATGCTGCCTTCTATTTTTAGGTCACACACCATTTGGCGAAACCCAGGCATTGCGTTATCAAGCTTTCATTATCGGAGGAAAAACCTATAACGATTCTTACAGATATTATATAATTATGCAAATATCTGCCTGATAAAATAAACAACAGATGGCGCTACACTGTTTCTCCGACTCCTAACGTCACAGATACTCACATTTGATGAGCCGCTCTCCCATCAGGTAGTTGTTCATCGTCTCTGCCACGATTTTTGCCACCTCCTCACAGTCATACTCGATAAAAGCGTAGCCTTTACTACCACCAGTCTGCAGGTCAAAGAGGTCAGAGTTGAAGGTCAGTGACACCTAACCTTATTACTTTGACTAGTATTGATATTTTCATTGTTAACATCTGTGGGCACGTTGGTTTTATCACTGTGCAAATGTGCAAGCAATAAGCTAAACATGCCGGGAATTCTGTGGGCTCAGTTATCTGACCTCAGACCACTGTACCATCTGAGACCATTTTCATCCTGAGCCACAGTTCAAGCTCAGAAAAGACTGATAACTAACACCTCATCCAACCCTGGCCCTCAACTCTGTGCTGTTACCTTTTTACTCCGTGACAGCCTCAACCTCAGGACCCTCCCAAACTGTTCAAAGTAGGCCTTGAGCTGAGGTTCAAACAGACCCTTTGGGAGATGACCAACGTAGATCACTCCAGGGGTTAACCTGCTTTCCTGGGAAAGAACAAAATACAAACGTTAAAAAAAAATTGGTTTCTTGTTATTATATTTTTCAGTATGATATTATGACACGGGAGACTGGGGGTGGAGGGTGGGGGTGCAGTGCTCACGTGAACAAACATTTTCTTTGCGTTACAAATTGATAATTTTTTGATGATATTAGTGTCAATGTTGAGATTTATTTTTAATCGCGGTTAAGCGGTTTACCTAGCCCTGATATCGTGTTGCTTTATTTTAACCTTATTGTGAGAAAGGTTCACACATTCGGTTGAAATGGTCATATGTGGACATACGTAACGTGTGTGTGTGTAGGAGGACAAGAAGCTACCACGTGACAAAATGTCGCAGTTCATAGTTACCGGTTTTTAAAATACGTAGTTAGCTGCGGAGCTGCCGCCTAGTGAACCGTAAACCAACTGTGATTAAAAACAAAAACACACCGATGACAATGAGAATAATCATCGGCCCAGTGAGTTAATCGCCGCTCCTCCTGTAGCAGCAGCTACAGGAGTTAGCATCGCCCGTGGTTAGCACCTACCTGAGCAGACTTCTTCTTCTTCTTCTTCACCTCCTGCACTTTCTTCCTGAACTCGGTCTCCTGTGTGGGATTCAGAGCCAGCAGCTCTTTGGCAGACTGAGCCGCTGCCGGTGCTGTCATTTCAGTCATTTCACTTCAGAAGAGAACACATCAACAGCAGAAACAACGCCACACTACACAACACCACGACAGTGTACTAAGTACCACGTTTCTACGCTTTTCCGGTTGACGTCGTGGTGACGCAGGGGCGTAAAGCAGCGTCTCTGCACACAACCTACAGCGACCTCTGTAGTGTTGGAGGTGTCATAACATCTATCACACTGTCAAGAGAAGAAAACGTAACTTATTTGTTTTTTTATTGAATACCACATACTCTCCGCGGTACTTGAGCTCACTCTGGGAGTAGTACGACAACCGCGGCAATTTTTAGTTAAAAAATATGTTTGACAACCGATTTGTTTAGAAAAGGGAGCAGTTCAACAACCGATATTCCACTATATAGGGAAATTAAAGTGTTTTACATTTGTTTTTCATTTATTTCATATATTATCTTGACCATGTACAAGAAAATTGGAGCAAACAGGGGAGGAGGTGGAGCAAGCATCCTCCAGGGGGCGGGGTGTTGAACAGTCTAATGATGAGGACAGACGGTCTGTGGACACACTACAGCAGTACACGCTGTAGCCTCAGGACATGGCAACAAAACTCATCTACTTCACAGTGAACGGGAGACCAGAGCGGGCAGAATTCCCATCAAACTGTCCTGCACAGGATGTCAAAGGTAAGGGTCCCGTCTCCTGTACAGTCTGTCCAATCAGCTGATGCCTGTCTTCTGGCTAAGATTCTTTTTTTTGTGTGTGTTTGATAATACTCTGTGGCATAAAAATACATAAATAGTTTCATTTTTAGCAAACTTATTTTCTTTTTATAAATATATAAATTAAATATTTATCGTATATATATATAGGACTGTGTAGGAAGAGGCAGACTTCTGTGGATGTTCTCTGGTTGTCTGAGGCTGGAGCAGTAAATACAGCTGTCTCTGACAGCTCCTCACTGGTCAACGGCCAGGTCCTCTAATGCTCTAATGAGGTTGTACTCAGTGGTGAGAAAGAAGCAGAAAAAAACAAGACTTTATCAGAGTTTTTTATTTTACCGTGTTGGACTGGATGCTACGTAGACCCTGGGTGTCAAACTCAGTTTCACCGAGGTGATGATGACGATGTTGATGATGATGGTGATGAGGTCATAGTGTGACATGACCACCACTGTCCACTTGCAGACCTTTTTCGTTCTGCAGCCGAGGCCGGGCCCCACGACATCCTGAAGCTGTACAACCCCAGAGGAAACATCATCAACATCTGCCCAGGTCTAGAACCCAACAGTCCAGACTCTCTGTACAAGCTGGAAGTGTTAGCTGCCAACTGCCACAGTGAGCCATTAGGTATGCTGACGTAGCCACAGTGACGTGTACACTGCCGAGGTGTAATGTAGGAACTGTTCACTGTTCTTTGTCATGGCAGGTGTGCAGCTCAGTGGAGCAGTGGGCTTTGACCTCTCATCTATGGAGAAAAGGTAAAAGAACAACCGGGGTCAACCAGGTACTGACCCACACTGAGACCTGGAGAATAGGATTTAACACAAAACTGAGTTCTAAAACCAGTGACCCATACTCCACTCCATGTACTCAGTACTTGGCAGTACTGCAGAGGGTAGTTTAACTTCATGAATCTTCTGCTCCATAGCTCCATAAGATTTCTGATGTTTAAACTTGAACGTTCTCAGACTGCAGGGCCTGGAGAAGAAGATCCTGTTTGAAGCCACAGAGACTCCAGCCGTCGTCCATGAAATGAAGCAGCAGGTGGATTTATTCCGGGAGAAACTCGAGGTTTGACCAAAGTGTCCAAACATTATCATCTGTTTTAAAGTTTGTTTTTTTCATTAGTAATCTTCTGATCATTAATGTAACATTTAATCAGCCAACAGTCTGTTTCCTACCTGTCCAGATGATGGCGCTGTTCTGTTTCCTGTACATGGTTTATTGTAGAGTACAGTTGTCGGGTGACAAACACAGCGCCCCCAGCAGTCTTTCATTCTTTCCTTCGTGTTATGAACAGAGCATGGAGCATCTGGTCTTTCATTCTTTCCTTTGTGTTATGAACAGAGCATGGAGCATCTGAGCTGGCTCGGCCTCTTCAAAGATCTGTCAGAACGAACTCAAAAGGCATCGCCATTCTACCACAAGAGGGCGCTGAGGAAAACGCCAGAGGAGTGTGAGCATGTGCGGGAAAAGTACCTACAGATGAGGTTCGAACCCACACACTGAGCACAGACGATTGTTCTGTACGTCTGTAGAAACAGGTGTAAACGTTGTTCTCTCCGTGTTCTCAAAGCAGTTCTCTGGAGGTATCGGAAGAAGTGAGGCAGTACCTGAAGACCCCGACCTTCGATAACTGGTACGCTACGTCATCCACAGCAAAATTAATTATTTTTATTGTTGGGACGGATTTCGGGCGGTCACGTTTGGCCTGCGACCCCCTGGTTTAGAGGATGGTGACCATATCGTTGACATCACCACAGGTTGAAGCTCAGCATTCAGAGTTTAAATCTAAATCTTTTTATATTTTGATGTAAAAACTGATGTGATATAAATACATCTGCCGCCTCAGTAGGGCAGCAACAGACGGTCAGCAACAGACGGTCAGCTCATGAATGGTGTCCAGCATAAACCTGTGAGGAGAGAGGGCCGGATCATCTGAATATGAATGGACCGCACTGATCAAACAGGAACTTGGTCAATACACCAGGGTGAAGTGGCATTCACTGGGAATATGGTCATTATGCCGTCCCCCGCCCCCTCTGTTCATCACAGCATCTCATTAACGACGAGAACTGAAGGTTTTCTTCAATTATTATTAGGTCTAAAATAAATGTACTGCTTCAGAACGGTTCCAGCATGGAATAAGGAAAGATTTTGGAAAAATCAGTCCCATAATGTAGCTGGTTAGCATGCCTGCCTCGGGAAAAAAGAGTCCTGGGTCCGATTCCCAGCGGAACCACATACTGGGTTGTTAACCCTCCTCCTGTATTTAATAATCAAGCTAGCATCTTGTGATAGCTAAGCGCTAACACAGAGCCTGTTAGCACGGTGCTATAGTTCTCTTTTCACGTGGCTCAGGAAGTGTTCATGATTGGGTGGAAACTCAGTAACTCAGTAAAACATTTTTAGCAAAGACAGTTTGTCCCAGTAATAAAATGACCTTCTGCCCAGTACTGGTCTGGTACTGGACCAGTACTGGTCTGGGTTCCTGTGGTCTACATTACATAGCCTCCCATAAGGTATCACGTGTACTGCTGCAGTACTTTGTTTGCTGTGTGTTCTGTGCAGGCAGTGGGAGGACGCAGAGATCATGGTCCTGCTGCAGCTGATGTACTCTGATCTAGATTTCATCACCACGTTCAAGATCTCCCCTGAAGTACTGCAACAGTTCCTGTTTGAGGTCTACAGACGATACAACAACATCCCATTCCACAACTTCAAACACTGCTTCTGTGTTACCCAAATGGTAGGTGGTGGGTGAGGTGGTGGGTGAGGTGGTGGGTGAGGTGGTGGGTGAGTCAGTTGGTTTTCAGTGATCTGAATCCAAATGAAAGTCTGTTTGAAATTCAGGGTTCAAAACCTGGACAGTGAAGGTCAGATCTGGAGGACATGAGTGGACATGAGTGGACATGATTGGATGATGGAACAGTACTTCATCAGTTCCTCTTGCTGTAGAGTACCTGGGCCAATGGTTCTGTGTTCTCTGCTCTGTCTTGGTCTTCTACCAGATGTATGGTTTGATCTGGCTCACTGACCTGAGAACTAAGATGGACAGCATTGACCTGCTCATCATGTTGACCTCTGCGGTGTGCCACGACCTTGACCATACAGGATACAACAACACCTACCAGGTACCGGGACAACACTGACTGAACAGGACTGACCTCAGCCGTGGTCAGCCGTGGTTCTCTTTATGGATGTTTTCTTCTGTAATTTTTCCTTTTTTTTAACCACTTCTCAGATCAACGCTCGAACTGAACTTGCTCTACGCTACAACGACATCTCTCCGCTGGAGAACCATCACTGCGCTGTGGCTTTTGAGATCCTGGAAAAGGTAAAGACGGAAACTGTCGGCTTCAAATGTTCTTTGTATCTGACGTCAGTCCGTCTTCGGTCGCATCAGAGTGACCAGATGTTTTTGTTTTTTTGGGTTTAGACCGAGAGCAACATCTTCAGAAACGTGACGACAGACCAGTACAAACGGATCAGAGAGGGAATCATCAAGTCAGACCAATGTTCCTCAGGGTTCTGTTTTTGTTCTTGTTCATTCCTGTCCTGATTCTTCTTCTTCTGCTGTTCGTGCAGCTGTATTCTGGCCACTGACATGACCCGACACAGTGACATCCTCAGTAGATTTCAGTCCATCCTGCCGACCTTCGACTTCAACAACAAGGAGCATAAAGACGTGGTAGGAGACCCATCAGGTGGACCATCAGACCTAGAGCCACAACACAAACAATCAACCATCGACTGTCAGAGTCCACTGGTCCACACGCTCCCCCTGGTTCTCCTTCCTCTTCCTCTTGACTCCTCAAACATAAGAGTACTTCAGGGCTGCTCTGAAATCACAGCGCTCTCCACTCGAGTCCACGTCCTGTAGTAATCACCGTCTCCTTCATCTAGTCTAATTGGACCACAAACAGGTCATCAAAGTCTTTAAGGTTGTTAAGGTCTGGACAAAGTACCCCAAACTATTGTACTCCATGTTGAGTATTACAGTATCTCCTCACAAGGTCAATGAGACAACGAGTACTTTGCCATGGTTTTTTTTTGAGGTCAGCTAATGTGTGGCTCCATTTTACCAAGTTATTTTCTCTCCAGCGAATCCAGAGGTCCATTGAAATTACAGTTATTTTTCGATGATTTTTCTTCGTCACGTTTCCTTCATTAAAATCTATTTTTTTCTTGTGTTTGCAGTTAATGATGATACTGATCAAAGTGAGCGACATTTCCAATGAGGCTCGACCAATGGAGGTGGCCGAGCCCTGGTTGGACTGTCTGCTGCAGGAATTCTACAACCAGGTACGGTCTGCTGTTTTAGCATGTGTCAGAAACCGTTGCTGAGACCAAAGTGGAGTTTATGAAATATCGACTTACACTATGGTTAGAGCTCAAAGTCGGTCAAAAGTGTTCAAAATGAAAACCACGTCCTTTTATTTCACCTGTGTCCTCAGAGTGACGCTGAGAAGCTGGAGGGTCTCCCAGTGACGCCCTTCATGGACCCAGAAAAAATAACAAAACCTTCATCTCAAACGGGATTCATAGGTTTCGTCCTTCTGCCCCTCTTCATTGAACTGGCCAATCTCTTCCCCTGTTTGGAGGTGAGTCACCCACAGACGAGTCCTGAACCACTGGGTTTTCATTATCGGAGGAAAAAACTATAACAATTCTAACAGACTCTACATAATTATGCTAATATCGGACGTCCGTAATAATGGTGACTGTTTTGATGATGATTTTGCAGCAGCACATCGTCGACCCAGTGCGTAAAGCCCTCAGCTACTACACTGAGATGGAGAAGGCCTACGAGAGAGAGAAGAAGAACCGAGGCCAGAGTGTGAACGTCTCCAAGAACAAGGAAGACTCTGTGGACGCCACAGGCTCAGCTTAGAGCGGTCTTTGTCAGAGCTCCCTCTGGAGGAGGCAACACCAACAGAGTTGGACAGCGGGGTCAATGTTTCTTGTCGTTGTTGCCCCATCCTCTGGACACAGACCCTCACACAGGGCATTAACAACCTACCGTATACTGAGTCATTTTTTAATACAGTGCTAAAATAAAATAATATAATTAAAAAATGAAATGCTGACCGGGATTTGTATGTTTGTACGTTTCTGCATGAAACAATTTATGTGAGCTTTTTAATTAAGCTAGTAAATTCAGAAGAGCTGTACTGTTGTGGTTCCATAGTGGAGTGGTTATCACGCTAGCACATTAGGATTCCCAGCAGAGCCACTTATGAATTTCCCAAATATGGACTCAATAAAGTCCAAATTATTATTACTATTATTATAGTCTAAAAAGAACTACAAAATAGTACTAAGGAAACATTTTTAAAAATGACATTCGCACATTGAACTACCTCTATTGGCCACCAGGGGTCGACAGATCACTGATGATTTCAAATAATTCACAACGAAGATATCTTCACTGAAAAAACGTGATTGTTTATTAAAAATGTACAAATCTTGAACCGCCCCCCCCACCACACACAGATACACACATACAGGTATAGGAAGAGTCAATGGTAAAGAGTAAACACAAATATTTGAAGGACTACTTTAAAGTGTTGGAAATAAAGTGTAGTCAAATTAAGGATCTCTGAGCTGAATCTCCTGGTCCTGGTCTTTGACAGGGTTTCAGCGTCAGAGTCCAGAACCCAGGGGGATTATGGGATTGACTTAATTAGGTTTGGTTCTATGTTAAGAACACACAGAGGCACCGGTATGTTCTGTCAGAGTGTTCCTGGTCCAAACACGGGTTCATGAGTTCTGTTCCTGAAAACAACGCCACAGAGGAGGCGTGGCCCGGCGTGGTACCTGGAATTGTCTGTTGTGTTCAGGGGTCATGTTTCCTGAGACCAGATCAAAAATAAAAACCTGGTGGAGTTTCTGGAGTTTCACCATTTTCACATTTCAGACGAATATTACTGCAGTATGTTGTACAAAATACTCCTTCACGCACTGACCCTGAGACGAACACAGTCCTGGAGTTGCACGCTAACACCAGCAGAGGGCACCATTGTCCGACATCATGGTCTGTAGACAGACACCAGCGTCAACCAAGGTAGAAGCTCACAACCATTCACACCACCATTCACACGGCCAGGTTAGAGTGAACATTAACTTCAAAGTGGAGAAAACACACACACACACGCAGGTCAGATCAGTTAAAGCCAGGGATTGAACGCGTGACATTTTAACTGTAAGGTAAGAGCAGTAAACACACTCCCACCGTGTGGCCACATTTCTCAGTTCATGGTGTGTTCTGGTCTGACGGTCCCTGCTCTGAGTCAAAACAAAGTTCCGGACCTGAGACTGTACTACTAGACTCTACGGTACTGACAGTACTGGTACCAAACATCAAGGTTCTACAGCAGAACTCAGTCCAACAGTTCACATGTCGGCTCCAGCTCACCCTACCTTCACCTCGTGAGCAAGGCACGTTGTGAAGGGCTCAGTGCACAAGGTTTTCACACCAGCAAACACCGAAGGGCAGTTGGTACCGATGCATTCACCTTCCCTGGAACGTCACGTGTTTGAAGCCTGGTAACAGATGAGGAGAACGGTTCTGTCCAGTCCAGAACGGTGGTTGTTGGTTCTCAGCTCATCATGTTGAGGAACTTACTTTCTTCAGCCAGAGCTGTCAACATGGAGTTCATGTCACCGATGGCCATGTTTCCTGTCACTGGAGGAACCGATGCCAGGGCGATCGAGGTGACCCCAGGTGTGGTCAGACGGGAGGAGGTCCTGGACAGGCTCTGGAAAAGACCAGGACTCAGGGTGCCGGACATGAGACTGGAATGGTCTTCATCGTCCAACAGCGTCTCAAAGTCTATTGGAGCATGCTCAGAGTCCACGGTGCTGCTGGAGACCTGGTTCACTCCTGGAGACGCCATGTTGGTCGGGGCAGCAGCCCGGCCTGGAGACAGGGGTGAGTCAAAGCCGAAGGTTGTGGGTTCAAACATCTGAATGTGACCCATGTAGAACACGGCAGAGTTTGGGTTCTCGCAGGCGCCGTTGTGGGACACTGACCAGCTGGGCCTCTTTGGACTTGCCTCAGAGGAGCCATAGTCCCGGCTCCCGTCAGTGGACTCTGGTACCTGACTGGGCCGCAGGGTGCTGTTTGGACCCGCGTGTTGTCTGACTGTGGACATGGGTTCTGTTGGAGGTCGGGGCTGGAACAGTTTTCTCTGCTGCTCCATCTGGTTCCCGTGAGAACGCACGCTGGTCTCTGCTCTGGTCCAGTGGGTCTGCAGCTCAGACCCCTCGCTGTGGGCGGGCCTCATGGTCCCAGCTCTGAAGTTCTGAGCCGCTTCTCGATCGTAGCCTTGATTTGGACTCAGCCCCTGACTGAAGGTGGCGCTGTTGCCGTGTCTTTGCTGGTTCAAATATCCTTGACTGAGGGGCAGCAGCCGCTGGTTACAGACCAGACCCTGACCCGGAGTCTGGAAGGGTCCAAAGTTCTGCCTCTGCTGGACCACGGCCAGGTTTCCTCTGAGAACCTGCTGCTGGTTCCTGGACACCTGGTTTGTGGCGTCAACAGAACCTGAACTCACTTCGTTCCACTGCACAGGCATGATGTTCTTCTTGACGGGTTCTGCTGGTACCGTGGTACCATCCACAGCTGCCATTTTCCTCTGAGTGTAGAACGGTGCCGGCGGGGACGATGCCCCCTGGTGTCTGTTAGAGTGATGCTCCTCCCAACTCATGGTACCTGGGGGGCCTGAGTTCTGAGACCTAAGGTACTGAACCACATCATCTGGAAGAACCAGATCCTCCTCCTGGTTCTGCCCCCCTCGTGCCCTCGTCCTATCTGCCCCGTCCTCCCTGGCTACATTCTCAGAAATGCTCGGAGGTCTGGGGGCGAACGGGTACTGTTGCCGACTTCCAGGGCGGTGCCACCGCTCAGGTCCGGTGATGGGACGGAGGTTGCTGGTACTGTTGTAGCGCTGGATCCTGGAGAAGGAGAGGTTCTCTGGGTGGGTTTGGCGTACTGGGTCACTGGCACGACGCGGCAGACTGGTGGGCGCCTCGTGATGCATTATGGTCCTGGCGGTGTACCCAACGTCACTGCAGCGCCGCGGAGCCGCTCCACCAGGAGGCTGGAGGAACGGGATGGAGGTTCCATCCGACGCCACGCGGGTCCGAAGGTTCATTTGATTCATGTTGGGCAACGGAGTAGGCGGGGCACCGCCTGTGGGC